TAGTTTTTAGTCAATACACTAGTACGTTATTTTTTAAAGAATTTATTGTGTGATCGGAATTTGCCTGCCAGCAAAATGTAAATGAATATGTACGTGTGTTTGAATATAAATTAGACCATATGGGCTTAGTAAAAAATTATTTTAATAACTACGTTTCGGAGTATAACTCCACCTTCAGGTTAAAAGTGAATAAAGATATAAAAACTGTGATAAAAACTTTCAAAACAATTACAAATTTTATATGTAAGTGATTTTTAATACTGTAAGAAAGTTCTTGAACAGTTGATGACGAAGACAATGACGAATACTTATGTCGTGATTTTTTTGTCGGCTTCACTTTTCGCTCGCTGTTATCATTCCAGATATATATATATATAGAGTTCACTGGGTCATAGATTATAGATCATACCAGATGTCTCACTGTGTATCTATCTCTATGATTTTCGTGTCCGCGATTTTCGCAAGGCTATCACGCCAGATGACGCGTGCGACACTTACTGCCAAAATGGCGCTTACTGCCAAAAGGCGTGATTGCCACTGAGCTATAATATATCTGGAGGAAGTGCTCGGCATGAAACAGTGTCGCCAAAAACATGGCGGATTTTCACGTCTGCTGACGCCAGAATGACGCCACTGGTCCCAAATCCTCGTGGTAATTACCACTGACCAACCGCGATCCTCGGCTTCAGACGACGATTTCACCCCCCTGGTTTTTGCACAAAAAGCTGAAACTCTGCTAAATGTTTATATAAAAAACATCGAGAAGAAATGCTGAGTTTTTGCATGGCTTCGTGATGCGACAATTCTTTAACATCAAGAAGAAACACTTCTTTTTACCGGTAAGATGCATTAAACTCTTTTTCTGTGCTTCATTTGTACTAAATACCGTTTTTTAGAAGAAAAAATTGGATACGAAATTTACATATAACGACGCTGTACAGCAGCTGGTGTTTTTCTGGCTTTATCACTTTTCTTTGTGTTTTATTTTGCCATTTGGGCAGGTAATAGTTTTTGTTTTCCTCTGGAGTCCTTACCCAAAGATCCAACATCAATTTTCACATAAAGTATTGTAACGGAAATGCCAATAAAATGATGGACAAGTGTCAAGTCCAAATGGTGTCAATAGTTCCAACTTATCCTAGGGTTTTAATATATTGTCATAGGAGGCCCAATATATGGTTGTATAAATGGGCAAAAAAAGATCAAAACTGTTCCTAACAAGGATCTCTGTAGTGTGTCTCTCTCTCAAGTTTTGAATAAAAGCTTGCAAGGCTCACACTACAATTTTGAGTTGTGATTTTTTGTGATTTTTTTAAAATCTCTTTTCATGGCTAACATAGGAGGCCAAATAGATAGTTGTACAAGTAAAGTTTATAGCTCTGAACTTAAAAAGGCCAGCAAATAGACATGAACTTTTCTTGACGAATATGTGGGGATGACTATTTCACAACACTCTAACTTCTATGACTATGTCTGAAATGACATATTTTAATATTTGAAAGGAAAAAATAATATAATGTTCAATAGCATAATAATGGTGTAGCATAAGCATGTAGATCAAATTATATTAATTTAGACAATATAGTACTGGTACATGACTGATTGGATGTATTCTATTACACCTTTCCAGATGCCAAGAAAAATCCTGAGATGTGTTGAAAACTTGAAGAAGAATGCCCTGGTTAAATTTTATGCCACAAAGGGGAATCACCTTTGTTCAAAGCAATTAGTATAATATTCCACTTAACCCATTGAGTGGCAGCACTCTCCACTTGACAAGTAAAATCGTCTGGTGTTAGACAGAGTAAAATACTGATAATAGGGTGCATCAGGGCACATGCCACTTAATTAAGGGGTTAACTCATTCAGCACTCTCCCCTTCACAAATAAAATGGTCTGCCATTAGACAGAATAATAATAAAGTAGGGCGCATTGGGTTGCATTGCATCTTGCCAAAGGCTTAATAGGATGCATAGCCACAAGGCATATACTGGTCAGCCCATAGAGTGCCAGAGCTCTGCCCTTGCATTGACAAGTATATTCGTCTGGCATTTGACAGGAAAATTATATGGTGCATTGCCACTTATCAAAAGGGACAATGGAGGCCTACAGCAACTCTCTTGTTCTCTCAACAGGGGGGGGCGGATGAGGTTACACTCAAAAATGCATAATTGAAACAATTGGCTGGTTTGACATTTTAATTGATTATTGCAATATTTTCACACTGATTTTGTAATTTATTTGTTAATTTTATTTTTAATTAATATGAAAATAGTGTCATCTAATAACCCATAAATCAAGATACTGTTAATAAAATTGTATTTTATGTGGATGTAGTTAATTAAATATATTCATCAACAGTTTGTGACTCCTCTTTCCCAACAAATTGCTGAATGGTACTTTATTTCTGAAAAAAATATGTGAGAAATGAATATTACACTAAAACAACCAAATACTTTATATAATAATTGTTGTGGTTATTGTTCGATACTGGATCCCAACATTTAACTGCTATTAATCCAATACGACATTACACATGATTGTGTACACATAACATTCTTGCTAACAATAAGTTTACATGAACCTTGCCGACACCCAACTGTAACCTTAACTGGCCCTCATCCTGACCGGTAAGGCCACCTGTGTCAGCACAAAGCTGGTCAGAATGCTCTTGAAATTCCACTCATTTGAACCCAGGGCTTAGCAGATACATGCTGCTAACAATTAAGGTGATAGTCTTGACAACTCAGGGCCCAAGGACTTGTTTGAATTCAACTGAAATTTATTTTGTATCACTTTGGCATGTTGAAAGAATGAGGAAAATAGTTCAGAAAAATAGCATGTAAATATTGGGGTTTGGTGTCAAGCAAAAACCACTGTGTAAAATATTTTCCTCCAAAAATGCATGAATTACCAACATCAAATATCATCAAGAATGTTTCATTTTCTTCACCCATTGAGCTGCAGAGCTTCCCCATTGGGTTGTTCCAGAAAAGATCCATACTCCCCCCACTGAGGAAATTTCTGCCGTCCGGAGGGGGAGGGGAGAAAAAATTGTTTCTGATAATAGTACATGTATTTAATTATTTAGGACATCCGAAGGGGGTAGGGGGGTTAACTTCCTATTTCCTCCGTGGGGGTGGTATACATGTTTTCTGGAATGACCCATTGACGAGTATAATATCGTCTGGCGTTACAAGTAAAAAATAAGTAGGGTGCATTGCGGCTCAATGGGTTAATTATGAAATTGATTTTACTCATGCAATTTCTAGGGAAAATGCTACAGGCCTTATATATGAAACTAGCTTCAACAGAAGTTGGTAGAATTTAACAGCCAATTTTTGGATCTTGATAGACTTGATAATTCTACACATTATAATTTCATTGCCATCAGTGGCCAGTTAAGTATATGGATTAAATCATTCAAAGCCATGATAGTTCTGGCTTAAAAAGGTCTTCCTCTATAGGTATACTAATATAATAGAAAGCACTTTAAATTTACTAAGTAGTATCATGAAGCAGATGGTGGTCAAAAATGGCATTTTATATCGTAAAATTTGAAATAACAAATGAAACTAAAATCTGAAATTTCAACCATTTTCTTTCGAGAAAGACTGTTTCTCGTATTAATATAGTTTCGGCAACTTAATTGTATACATCAGTTGCTAAAATTGTCCACTACACAGTACAAATAGGCTGTTTATTTCGCTTTGTTTTGACCTACTTTATCACAAATAAATATTGTACATGAACAGTATATTTTTAATTTTACCTTTACAAATAACGTCTTTACGAAATTTCTTGAGGTTTAAATATTCGTTGTTCCCTGTCTTCACTAGCCAGCATGATTCTTGCCACTTGTGCAACTCGAAACAAATGTTAAAATGCCGAAGAGAAGGCAAAAACCGAGGCAAACTTCAAAACAAAAAGCTAAAATATTTTTGCGAAAATCAGGGGGATGTGAAAGTGGTAGCGGGCTCAAAATGAGCCTTGCTCAGTGGTAATTACCACGAGGATTTGGGACCAGTGGCGTCATTCTGGCGTCAGCAAAGACCGAAATCCAACGAAATCCGCCATGTTTTTGGCGACACTTGTTTGACTGAAGAGAGATAGGAGCACCTCCTCCAGTAATATAGTATAGCTCAGTGGTGATTGCTCACGTTTCATGGCGTGGATTACACTTACTGCCAAAATGGCGGCCAATTCGTGCTCATAAAAAATCGCGGACACAATTTTGGCTGAGTGAGACATCTGGTATGATCTATAATCTATGACTGGGTCTACACCGTAGGCTAAATATCATTAAACTGTGCTCGCACGAAGCTTTTGGCATCGAAAATTTACATAGGGCTCATAAATATCGATTTTTTTCATATTGTTATGCAATTTTTTCGGGAAATTTCACGCGATACTACTTCTACAACAGTCAATCTACCCATTGGAACGGTATCTTAAAAGGTAAGCGTCATTTTCCAGTTTATTTTGACCTCTCACTTAGGCGCTATGACGTCGCGATGTAATTTAATGGCGTTTCTGTCAACAATCTTTGAAGACAAAATTCTCAAATCTCCATGGTTCGATTTCGCTATTTTTTTCACGATTAGTTAAATAAAAGTATAATCTTTAATTCTATCCAGCCGGCCCCCCTCGGCCTCTCAACCGTTTTCGAGATATTCACCGTTGAATATAGCCCTTTGTAAAATATGCTGCCTTGTCACTCAGATCGATAATGAACTGCTATTAGCTTTTTTCTAAAGAAATTTGATATACTATAGAAGTTTCGATATATTATGGATTTATATATATTGGTTAAAGTATGTAAAAAATTAAAGCACTTCTGTAACAAGATTTTATTGGTGAAATTCATTGTTTAGCTGATGTTTTTATAGATTTGTGATTTTGGCTAGAGGATTCTATTTTTGTCAATGATTTTGTCTGCAAGAATTAAGCATCATCATTAAATTTGGAGTTCTAAACCTTGTTCACTTCTCTTGTAATGTTACTGATATGATATGATGACTTGACATAACTTCTGGATTTTCAAAACTAACCCATGCAGTGACAACAAGAACAGCTACTCATCCACCCGTTTCAAAAATGGCTGGTAAAGATGCTGGTTTAGATGCTCCTGGTTTAGATGCTAAATTTGTCCCTCATCCCAATTGTTGCCAAGGCTATGTCTGTACTTCATGCTGGTAAAAAAGACAATCTGATTTATAACGCTGCTCGATGCTTTGGAGAACAACGCCATGGAAATGTTGGTCCTATAATGCCATTGAATAGAATGCCTTTTATAGCAGTGAAGGCCCACTTGGCCTTTTTTAACAGTATTTTGTATAAATGCTGTTACACAACTAATTCAGACAAAGTTTGAGAAATGGTGGTTCTTATGCACCTATCAATGTTAAGCCCCAGAGAGGGGGGTCAAATGCCCCACTGTTGGGCAATAAATATTGGTCAAATACCCTACCATTTTGCAATAAATCGCAATAAATACTATATTAATAAAAATAATTTTGATTCAAATTGCCCTAACTTGGGCCCAAATGCTAATCCATAGTTAACTATGGCTAATCAAAATCCCTGGGGTGGAGATGCAATTAATGATCAAATACCCCACATATGCCCAACCCCCCCCCCCCTTTGGGAGTTAACATTGATAGGTGCATTATATGCAGGTTATTTTTGTATTCTCATATAATGTACAGGCCTTAAAATATCGGTCGGTCACGGACATTGTCCGACCCATTCGTGAAATTGTCCGACGTAGAAAGGAAACCACCGGACATTCTGTCCGACCAAGGTGAAACTGAGGTTTATTGTTTGTCCGACCCGAGTGTATTGGTGTCCGACCAAACTGTAGCTTTGTCCGACGTAAATCAAAATGTACCCTAGCCCAGGACTAGAGGCTTGTATGTTAAATGGAAAATCCGAGTAATTGTATAAAAGGTGAACTGGAAATGTTGTTTTAATTAACGTAGTCGAGCGTGGGGCGGCGAGCGAAATGGTGAAGTGGAAGACGGGCTTACTTTGTCGAAATCTTTTTTTTAATACTGCTGTTCTGGAAAGCAAGTTAATTTTGGCTTGGAAATAAGTATGAAAGGAACAAATTATTTAATATCTTTACAACATTTACCATTTATTCATTTGTGTCATTCAGACTTATTTCCGAGTCAAACTGAACTGAAGGTCATCGGACATATGTCCGACCCAAATTCAACATCACCGGACATTTTGTCAGACGGCCCTGTAAAAGATATTTTAAGGCCTGATAATGTACCTTAATTAAAGTATCAGCAGCATGTTATTGTGGGACCATTGATCAATATTATTGTGTATAAATAGACATATTTTTGTTTTATTGTTGCATTAATTTTAATGAAAATTTACTCACAAAGTTGGTAAAGTGAATGTACAAACTATTTATTTGTTCATTTAGTACAGCACATGTTACAATTATGTACTTGATTGCATGAGTGTGCATGACAGACATTGTTTTAATTGCACCCACTTGTGATTAACCTAGTTTTTGTTTAATTTAAAAATGCTGAAAAAAATCTAAAAAGTTAGCCAATTGAAATAACAGCATTTCTATAACTTGCTATTAAACCTAGTCAGTTGCTATTATATCACAAACATCTGTCAACATACACTCATGCTCTTCCTTACCTCTCGAGTCTGGATAAAATCCTATTTTAAAAAACTCAACCCTATACTTGATATGCTGAACATAGACCTCTAAGATATCTCCTGCTGCAATTAATGGGTGTAAATGCTCGCATAGTTCAGAAGCAATATAACCAACATGTGTCCATCCGGTTCCATGGTCTACATCAATTGCACTTGAGTCTGTTGGATTCAATTGCTCTGGCCAATGAAGAGCAAGGTATGCCTGTTCCAAAATGATGTTGGTAGTTTTTCTCATGAGCAGCACCGATGCACTTGAAATCTTGAATGGTACAGCATGGGTGATTTTGTCCTCGTCACTTTCATCCTCATCACTTAACCGGTCACCACTTTCTGCCTTATCACCTTCATTACAACTTTCTACCCCATCACCTTCATTATCTGACCAGGTTCAAGACCAGCCAACCACTCAAATAGATCTCTTTCTACAAAATCATAACAAGAAAAATTTTATTTTATTATTTTATACATACACTGTAATCTCTAAAATTAGCAATCTAATGCAAAAGTATATGTCACTATTCACAGTAGTATTAGAACAACACACAAGTATGGCAATATTATTTACAGATGAAAATTGAAAAATATATAACTACTGTATGCACATATATGCTATCCACAACTAGATACAAACAAGCATCATACTTCAGCAAAAATTTATTAAACAATTTGTTTAACTCAAAACATGTACATAATTATGTACACACAATATATACACACACAATAGGGTCAAACTATAGGCAATAAACACATATTACGCTATAATTTTGTACAGTGTATTTATGAAATTACAGTACAGTGCAAGAATAAAAACAACAAAGCTGAAATTTGACTAAATAACAAGATAACTGTAATGCATTGTAGTATACCAACCTTATTAAATACTGCGCTTGTTTTTACGTTGATGATACACGGAGATTTAATAACGCCATCCAACTTTAATTAGAAAGAAGAGCCTTGCTATTGGGAATATTTATATAAACACAATTCCTTCGCTCAGACGGATTATTTATAAACTAAACTAAAATGACAACACGTCCCATGCAATTTTAAAAAAGGTAAACTTGCTATAGTAAAACACAAGTCATAATGAGGATCGCAACAATACAGCAATATGCTGTTTTCACAGAGTATCTGACACTCTTGTCGTTCGAAAGCTTCCATATTTGTTTAGTCAGAGAGCTGTTCACTCCTCGACAGTCAACAGTCAATGAAGCCACGCGTCGAATTAGGCGCTCAATACCCATGATGCTTTGCGGCCTGCTGTCCAACCTCCTCTGCCGTGGGATATTATAGTATCTCACGCTGCATTGCGAAATCATGAATTTGAGTGAAATACCGTAAAAAATTACATTATCACGTGGACAATTTGATTTTTCATTGGACAATTTGAATTTGAGGTATAATATTACATGTTATGCACTAAAATTACTATACTTTACTATAGTTCTTGACATGTTACAGACTACTACAGCGGACGCTGAATCAGTTAACCTTGAAAGAGATCTTGGTATTAGAAAAACAAGCTGAACTGAAAAAGAAAAACAATTCCTAATTTGCCAGGGACCATATCAGCCACCAGCTAGGGACGTCGCGAAGCCATCAACATTTGGGGTATCGTCATGTTTTGACCAACATTTCCTAGGATTTTGACCAAGCCGTAGAGCAGGTCGTAGAGCAGAGCAGACGTGTAGTTAGTTGCTCCGCACTATATATTTTTTTTTTCTTAAATATATTACATATCGAAAGCGCTAAAACCTTGTAACGATGCCACCTAAAAGACAAACTAAGAACTCGTCCGGAGAATCGGCCTCAGCAACTCAAGAAGACAAGCAAGTCATGATGTCGGCTGAAAGCATTGAAGAGATTCTCGATCGTAGATTAAAGAAGCAATTTGATCAAATTCACGATCTGTTCAATCAATTCTCCAAGACGACGAAGTCTGACCTGGAAGGAGTTAAGAAAAGCCAAGAGTTTCTCAGTTCGAAATTTGATAGCCTAATTTCAAGCATGGATGACCTTCGGGCCCAAAATGACGAACTGCGTAAACAAAATGACGAATTAAAGAAACATGTCGGCGATCTTAAAATTAAAGTAGATTGTGATTCGAAAGATCTTGAGCAACTCAAACAATACACAAGAAGGGACTTGCTGGAAATTCATGGCGTCCCGTTTTCAAGGCATGAAAATACAAACGCTATTGTATTGAAAATTGCCGAAATCGTTGCTCCCGACCTGGAAATTGACGAACATGAAATCTCTACTAGCCATCGTCTACCAACTGCTAACTCAGATTTTATTCCACCCATCATTGTTAAATTCACCAGAAGAGATACACGAGACCGTATCTACAATTCAAAGCGTCGATTGAAGTCAAAGAAAGCTTCCGATCTAGGCTTGGGCTTCACGCAAGATTCAAAATTATACATTAATGAAAGCTTGACCAAGAAATCTAAAGAACTATTGAAGAAAGTCAAATCATATGCAAGAGCTCACAACTTTAAATTTATCTGGACAAGGTTTGGCAAAGTGTTTATTCGTAAAGACGATAGCCCTTTGTCCCTACCCATGTCGTTCACAACAGTCGAAGAGTTTGCCGACTTTTCTGCCCATAATCAATTACGTTAATTAATGACATTCAGAAGTAAGCAAACTATTATTTATATTCTGAACTAATTGTACAATGTCTTCCTTAAATGTATTGCCATTTGCACATATTGACGATGATGAATTTAGTTTACTTATAAACGAAGCAAATTATGGAAGAATTAATTTCAATGAGGACAGATTAATGAGTCTCAAATTTCAGCCACTATTATCTGGTAGTTCGAAAGGCTTAGCTAATTTGATTGATCTAGACCCCGATTCTCAGTCGTCGATTTCTGACACTTATTATACTGAAAAAAAACTTAATAATTCTATTGCCTCCACTAGCTTAAACAACTCTGTTTATTTGTCATTCTTGCATTTAAACATTAGAAGCTTATCCCGAAATTTCGATGGTTTAGTTCACTTGCTTGCTAGTATTAATCACAAATTTTCGTTTATCGGCATTTCCGTAGCATTTCCGAGACCTGGCTGCAAACATGCGAACATAATGTTAATATTGATGGTTATAACTTTATTCATAAACCTCGCTCTGACAGAGCAGGGGGTGGCGTTGGGCTATATGTAGCAGATGATATTCAATTTATAATTCGCTCAGACCTAGGATTTAATCAGTCAATTCGTACTGAGTCACTTTTTATTGAAATTCCCAAACCCCATGGGAAGAATACAATCGTTGGTATCGTATACAGACCCCCTGATGTCAGCATTGATGAATTCATTACCAATACGGAATATTTGATTAGTGAAATTTCCAAAACAAACAAGCCATGTTATATTTTAGGGGATTGGAATATTAATTTAATGAACCACTTAAATCATGAATTAACTAGTAAGTTCCTAGATATAATGTACACTAATATGTTTTTGCCCTTAATAACACATCCTCCTAGAATTACTTCACATTCGGCAACCCTAATTGATAATATTTTTACTAATAATCTTGACAACCACGCTCTAAGCGGTCTATTGTTTACTGATATATCTGACCACTTACCCATTTTTAGTATTTTCTCTGAGCAGCAAGATAGGTGCAATGTTAACTCATATTTTGTAGTTCGTGATAAGAAGCAATTAAATGTGATCAATTTTCTCAATCAATTACGTAATACTAATTGGGAGAATCTCGATAAATATAACAATCCGGCAAATGCCTACGGATCATTTCTCCATAAATATACAGCCTTATTTAACGAATGTTTCCCTCTTAAACACATCAAAGCATCTAAACATTGTTTAACAAAACCTTGGATTTCCAAATGCTTACTTAAATCTATTAGGAAAAAGAACAGACTTTACCGAAAATTTCTGAAGTTTCCCACCTCACAAAACGAAATAAATTATAAACAATATAGAAATAAGTTGAGTTCTCTGTTACGTACAGCAAAACGCCTTCATTATGAAGAAAAATTGAACTTAGCGAAAACAAACGTTAAGAAAACTTGGCAAGTTTTAAACGAGATATTACAAAGGAGAGGGAACAAAGTGAATAAACTACCGTCTAACTTTTTTACTAATAATAGAAATATTTCTGACCCGATGGAAATAGCTAATCAATTTTGTAATTATTTTTCTAATATTGGCTTAAATTTAGCGAAAAATATTCCTGCATCCCAATATACTCACCACTCTTATCTT